CCACCCACCCACTTCCCACCTTCCCTCAAGATTCATCCTCTTTAATGAAACATAAGGATAAGAAGCCAAGGCGAGGAGCACTCACTGTAAATGTTTGTTTATGTCCGCCATTAAAACCCTGTCCCCACGCGATTTTGAGGCTATTTGCCGACGCATTTAGTAATCGAAGATTGAAGGGGACTTCTGCTGGACCTGTTCCAGTCACTTGAATGTCAAATTGATCTTTTTCCATCTTTGAGGATATCTAAAATTTCCATTTTACACAAAAAAATCAATTGTTCAATGACTTTTCTTATTGGATAACCTATAATTTCGAAAGGGTGGGAAGGTATATAGTGACTTTTAAACTTAAACTTCAATCGAACTTTCAAAAGTTTTAGACTAAGTGAAGTCGATGGAAGGAAAGCTATAGAAGAGCATATTCATTTTCGCTTAGAATTCCAACACGGAGTATTTTTAAATTGAAATGCTATAAACGCCAAAGTTTCTGAATGAAACGGGCTTGAACAACTAAACTAGTCAATACCTTGCATCCATACTTCAAAGTAAGCATATGCACTTTTGGAGGGGGGGGGGGAATCCCAGAGATAAAAACGTGAATGAAATGAAATTCTGGCCTTTCCCTTGGTTAAATTCAGTGAGATTTATGATTACTTATAAAAATATGACCACACCACTCAATTTAATCTTACAGTGACTTACTATCCTGTTCACTCGTGTGTTTTATGGTTATCTTACCTTGCAAGTGTATTTGCCGAAATCTGTAACGTGAATACCATTGATACGTAGAATGGCAGAATAATAGCCAGGTCGAATTTTTTTCATGGAGGACACAAACTTGGGTCTAGCCGCTCTGATACAAGGCACACCCAGATCGGCGACAAATGAGCCGCATTCTGAATCCAACACACGAACTACAGTGGTGCTGCCCTCATGGTCCCGTCGATTGAGTTGCCAGACGACCTTGGGCTCTGGTTCAACACGCACGAAGCATTGTAAATCCACGTTTTTGCCGAAAGGTGCGGCGACTTTAGCGAACTTCGGTTGTTTGACTATTTCAGGAGCGACTAAAAATAAAAGCCCTCGTTTAGATTAAAGTTGACGTTATCAGAGAATAAGCGGCTTCATTTATTTCTAAAAAAAATCGTTCCGTGGGATAACTGTTTTTCGTTAAAACTAATAATGTTTGATCTTCAGGCATTGACAATTACTGAAGATGACAAATTAGTATCTATTTTACTTTTCACATTTCTCCTTGTATGGAAATTTCTAGGAGGCATTCTTTAATACTCCCTCACATTATATCGCTTTTAGCACATCAATATTTTTATCGGGGTGTGCGATAGACTTACCTCCACGTGGTACACCCTGGCAACGTATACTCATACGGCAAAAAAGTCTATTAACCGGCAGTTGACTTCTGGCTTCTAACTACCATCACCCCACTGCATGCCATATTCGGCATTTATCACAGTACTCACCTCGCCTTTTTTCTACCTTTTCTACCTTCGTCTTTGAAACACTCTTCTGTCCCCCCCCCCCCTTCTCGACTTTTTCGTACTTTGATGTTCCTTCCCCTCTGTGAAGTCTGAAGTCAACTAAAGGGCGAATGATAGCCATCAAAACGCCTGCCATTTGATATAAATAAATAAATATTTTTATTGCAAGTTAATTGGAATACTTATGATGAATCCCTTTTTTGCAACCCCCATTCACCCAATGATTCGTTTAAATTCCGCCAAAAATGGAGGCCTTTGGACCGGTAAGTCATGAGTTTAAAGTAGACAATTTTGTACCAGTAACCCTAGTGTGGTTAATTAAGTGCTGATGCGCGTCAATGGTGCATTGGTCACCATGTCCAACTTCCAAGTCAAGTCACAAATTCGGCGTCCAGCTGAGGGCATACTCAATAGGCGCAATTTCATAAGGTGATTGGTTAGTCAGGTTGGCATTTAGAAAGAGAGTGGCAAGTTACGATTAAATCACTAGGTGGATCTTGGGGGGTGGGGTGCACCATAACGGTACTGTCTGCAGTTATTATCAAATAACTCGGATACGCTCTTGCACTATCTGAGTTTGGTTTAAACTTAGGTGGTAATGGATTTTCAGAATAGGGCTTTCTATTTAGTTGTATTTTAAGAAAAACATTTAATATCTAAAATGTCATTAAATACACGTTGAAAATATATCGATATTGGGACTTGGCAAGCGCTTCATCTTAAGTACTCCGAAGCAGTTTTGGTGGCATGTCCAACATATACTCAAATGAAGGAGAATCAACTAAAGACTACATTTCATCTTCTAGAAATGCGAATTGACCAAATAGAATGCGTCAAGATGTGACTACTGAAATGATTCCTTGTTCGTGTAGCCAAGGTGCCTGGGAAGTTTGCAATAATTGAATCAAACATTGTTGTCAAGTCAACTTACAGACACTAAAGAGTTTGGCATCCGACTGATGTGACGGGAAGATACCATTATTCACTTTGCAAACATAGAGACCAACGTCGTCTCTAGTGACATTGTAGACTTGCAATTGGCTTCGCATATTGTAACCTCCAATATTCTCGCACTTAACCAAGTGTTTCACATTTCCATTCACTCGTGTTACCTACAGAATTGAAGCAATGTATTGAATCTACTCATTTCATGCAAGTAGGTAGGAGCATAGAATAAAAATTTGTCTTACACCATTACAACCGAGAGAGCTTGTCTCAAATCCCGGAGCTTTATCAGCTTCTATATCCCAACCAGGGTAAAGACGACGATTCCACTGAAATACACTCTCCGCATAAGAGGGATTTCCATTGGCTAAACATTCCAAAATAGCCATTTCATTCAGAGACACGTTGGCATCTTTGACCCTGGTTATTTGGGCAGGAACTATTAAAAGGAAAACATTCTGTAAGCTTCGATATTAACCTTCCATAGTCATGAGTCATTCCACTCTTACATGTGACGTTCAGCAGAAATGTGGCCTGGGTCTTTCCTAGATTATTCTCAGCTTGAATCGTCACGTTGGTTGTATGAATTCGCTTGATATTCCAGATAACCAGAAGCTCATCAAATTGATAAAGTCCAGATAGCTTGCTTACTTGTCGTAGGATGGAAGGCTTTTTCAAATCAACAGTTCTTGGGTCGAACTTGCTAGTTGGAAGGGGCCTACCTTCCCTCATCCACACTATTTTCTCACACTTTGGATTGCCATAGGGAATTAAATCAAGGGTTCCAGAGCTCCCTATAAGCATGAAATGCGTTTTGAGCCATGTCGTATTCGTATTCGAGCTTTTTAGCCTCTACTTACAAGCTTTCATCAATTTTCTTTTTATTTAAGAGGCTTAAAAGTTTTCCAAATTTAAAAAAATCCAACAAGAATTCACAGCAAACTTTTATCAGTTTTGGATGTAATTTTATCAAAAAAGTTTTGTTTTATACCACTAATGGCTGTGGTATATATTTAAGTTGGTTTATTAAAGTGAATTGACCGACGGCTTGAATGAAAAAATAGCATTAGTACAAACCTTCCAGAATAGTATGCACGTGGCCCGGCTGAAATCCAATAAAGTGCGGGGTGAAGGAGACATTTAGTTGCACTTCACTCTGTTTGGTCAAGTGGTTGTAGACACTATTTGAAACCAAACAAGTCACTATGTCCAAGTGATCTCTCCATTGGGGACGAAGAATCAGACGACCCCGTGAAATGAAGCCACCATAGCTTCCATTTATCGTTGGATCGTCAATACCTATTGAAATCAGGACTCAACAATGAGAAGTGTTTAAGTGAGGTTTGACAATATACCATGACAGTAAGTTCTTACCGGTGCGTTCGTCCATTTCACAGTCTTGTGCTAGTTCATCTGAGCCAGTGAGAATAGAGCCAGTTGGTAAAGACCCTTTAGCTTGAGACGTGAGCATAATGGTGGAATGATCAGCACGACGCATATACTGCTTGATTCGGCTGCAATGGAAGTAGCGCCATTGAATGCTTGCAGGAGGATTAGCTGATCCGGCCTCGCAGTTGACCTCAATTTCATTTTCTGCCAAGATCGGACTCTCGCGATTAATGCTCACTTTCACTTCGGTTACTGGAAAGTACATATTTAAAGCGATATTCGCGCTTTTCACGACACCATTTTGAGCCTGGTTCATAGCTACACATCTATAACCATGGGAATATGACAATAAGAGAGGATAATTTATCAAAGCCAATCTTAGTAACAGCATTAAAAAATTCAGATAGAAGTATCATATTTAATATTGACTAAGGGTGTGCGATAGACTTACCTCCACGTGGTGCACCCTGGGCAACGTATACTCATACGGCAAAAAAGTCTATTAACCGGCAGTTGGCTGCTGACTTCTAACTACAATTACTCCATTGTATGTCAGTGACCACTTTACAGTACTCACCTAACCCTACTCTCTATCATTGTGTCTGTCTCTTTTACATCAGCAAATCACTCTTCGGTCCCCCTCTTGAATTTTTCTCACTTTGATGTTTCTCCCCTCTGTGAAGTTTGAAGTCAGCTAAGGGCTAATGATAAATATTGGCTAACCTTTATGTTACTACAGAAGAAAATAACTAAATAAAAAGGTTGGGAACAATAAATTTGCCTTTGGCGAGATCTTATAGTCAGGCTTTATTGACCAGTTAAATGCAATTAATTACTCATTCCTCCCCTAAGAAGTTTTCTCTCTTAATGACGCGGATGAAGCAAACCGCCTCGATTTCTTCAGCCAACTCAATTTAGGCTACTTGTGGAGTGCACAATGCTGTCATGGCTGAACAAAGAAATCTCATGCTCACTAAGACAGACGCGAATGTGCAGCCGTGCTACTTGTCGTGAGGACGAGAGCGAGTGCGTCGTAAGCGCAGAGACCTCTCAGTCAGCCACCAATCAATAGTCCCTGCATTGTTTGATAAATCCTTCATTGTAATATAATAACTAAGCTCCCTGTCTGTCAACGCGCGGCCCAAATAAACTTATTTAACTCCATACGTAAGTTGCCTCTATACTTAATCCCGGCAACCAATCCAAACTGAAGGGGAGGGGGTCTTGCTGGGAGAGATTATAGGGCATGAATCCAGGCTTATTGGTGTAGCGATCCACTATATACTGGTCGTATATTTGCTCTCTTTTCATCGCTTGCTAAGGCACAAATAACCGACGTACTTGCTAATACCACGGGTTTCTAATGAATTTGTATTATGTATAAACCTGTAGTGTGCACAATTAAGTTTTAAAAAAATGATTTGGAGTATTAATCTGTCAGTCTCTGTGGTCATCAATTTTATTTCATTATTTGTCATCAGTAAAAGCAAAGGAAACGGTTAAACAGTATACTAATTTACCTTAGAGTAGCACCATTATCTTCCATTTTCCCAATTAACTCTAGATCTAAACTCACGCCGCCTCGAAAATTTCTCTGAGTAAATGTCGACGCAATCGGTTGATCATCTAACAGGAAAAATGATTACTTAAAATCATACTGAACCAACTTTTCATCCACTGAAGCCTTGGCGGAGGGTGACCATTTAAACATTCACATGTCAGCCTACGAGATTCGCCACTTCTCAGCGGTTCGCCATTTACCAAGCCCTTAATAATTGGTGGGTCGGGTGGATCTACAACAGAATGGAAATTATTAATCATCAAAAAGCTGCTTTACTACTGAAATGGTATAAGTAGGGTAGGTTACATACAGATTATACCCAAACGAACAGTTTGTACCAAGTGATTGGTTCCTTCATACCACATTTGGCAATCGAGATATCCATACTGATTTCTCTTCAGCATTTTTATGATAACCTCTGATTCTCGAATGAAGGCTTCGGGTTTTCGAGTCGAGGTCTTAATCTCATCACGTACGATTTCAATATCTGAAGTGGCAACTGCTCGATCCTCAGTGTGGAGAACCCACTTTAGTTTTGCATCAGGATACATTTCATCAGTAGTGCAGACAAAATTTAATTTTGCATTTTCTTCAGCGTATGCTATCAGCTCTGTGCGTCTATTTACAAGACCAGTTGATAGTTGATTGTTCTTCAAGGTAATGGTTAGATTTTGAGGTGGAACTAAAAGAAAGTGAAAAGGAGATTGATTTGAGCCGAATATCACATAGTAACATATCCGCATTGTTCAGTAACTGTAAAGCAATTGTGGCATTACTACCCTATCCTTTAAGCATAGTTAATTCAAACGCTACTTTCCTCTGTGGTTAGAAAAAAAAGTAAGAGTTGCGAAACGCGTGCTTAGGAAAACAATAATGAATATAAATGCGCTTTCTGAAAAATCAACATCTCCTTCAATTTCCCAACCCCCCCCCCTTCACCCCCATTAACCTTGAAAGCTAAGGTCCGACTAAACAGGCCTAATGTCTGGAGGTGTGATTCTTGCAAAACAATTAGAGTCTTTTTCTGCGCAAATCACAGTTTCTCCTCTCCCGAAGTTGAAAGTCACACTTCCCCTATTTAAATGTTGTCTTCTCTCCAACCTTTTGCCAAGTTGACTAAAAAGATGGCTCAATGCATGTCTGTAAAGTAGATGTCCAGAAATCAAGGCCAATTCGTGTAAATCTAGTGGCCTGGAGAGCTCCTATTGAGTCTTCCTTGGTTTATTGTTGTTGTAATGAGCTTAAGAAAAATGTTTCCACACTTACCTTAGTCTACTTAGAGGGTTAGACAAATTACTTCTAAAAGGATGAACGAATCATTAAATCGAATTTTACCTACTCATGCAAACAATATCTGACCGTCAAAAATCGATGCACTTTTATGTCCTTATGACAACTAACGAGAACAAAGTCTGGTCATTGAGCCTCTCCGCATGTAAAGTACAGATGTATATATTCCCACCCCACCCCTATCTCTTTGGTTTCGATGTAATAACCTAGTTGAAGGGTGCAGTTTCTTGTTGCAAAAATAACCAAGAAAGTATTTAAAATCTCATAATAAAACAGTGCATTATCCTCTAGCAAACCATTGAAAGATGGAAAGAGCCTGCTCTTAGTACTAGCACAAGTTCCATAATTGTCAAAAAGGAACTTAGCACTGTTCGACCATATGGAGGATTGTGGAAAGCTAAGAGTTACGACTCGACGTACACTGTATCTTGATATTCACATCCACTCTCTTCGATACACCAGTGTCATGAGCAGTCTCACAGGAGAGGTTGGCACCATGGTAACGCCTATTAATGTTTGGAATGTTTAGTACTGCCTTCAACTCTCCATTCGTGTAGGTGTCATAGAAACTGGTAGGCACATCTTCAATGGCAGAGATGACTTGACCGAAGTCCTTTGAATGGAAGGGAAGGATATGCGACTTGGGAGTCTGATAGACGGAGTGATGGAAATGCCATCTCCAAAAAAGTGCTCCCACAGGGTAGCCAGGTGGTGTGGCAATGCACTCCGCTCTCAAATGATTGCCTTCGTGGAATGTGTCTCCATAGAGATTGTGTGGAAAGGTGATTCTTGGAGGACCGGGAGGAACTGCAATGAGAAAAGCGGACTTAAGGAATTTATGATTAAATATTGTGCTCGTTCCACTCCACTTTGAAATGTGAAAATAAATTAAATTTAAATTGATGAATGACAGGTAGAAATCAAAACATTGCTGCCCTTTCAATTTCTACAATTATTGTTTTCCCGTGTCAGTTTTGTCAATACTATCCTAATCTTGGGATCAATGCGGCCACTGATTTATCGGCAATCACAACTCCCACGTAACCTTAGGCTGCAGTAATTTTATCAAAACTCGTTTCACCTCTAAACTTTTGTCTTCAATCTGACTGGGCAAAGAAATGCCAAAAGCCTGACATGGGTCTAAAGTTAGACACATGATCGATCACTATCGCTTCATTATCGCACACTTCTCCTGAAATATTTAAAACTTTTATCTACAAAATACCGTTAATTTAAATTATTGCAGCCTATTTGAAATAATAAACTCGAAAAGCCCTATTATTTGGTAAACGGCATTAGATTTACAACTATGAAGGACCACAAATAGGCTAATATGTTGAAAATCACAAAAATGGTATCTTTTAGTACTTGGAGCACACAATTTTGGTAGTGGCCTAATTGGAGAGTTTGATATGACAGTTGGGCTATTGAATAATCTATCGGCAAAAAAGTTTTGCTCCGTTTCTCAGGTCTTCCAAAAGGCATAAGATATAAAAAATTAAATTTATCCACTTTCCCCATCTCTCATAACTCGAGAGGAGAACTGCAGGATATTTTTTTATTGCGAACTGCGAGATTGAAGAGGAAGATTAGAAATTTAGCGTGGAAACTGTGCTCAAATTAGCGATCAACTCCATTACTAACTAACGGTGACCAGTTCAGTCCGATTCGATTGTGATGCAATCTTAGTATAGGGAAGTTCGAGAAGGTGGGTGGGTGGGTACGTGTATGTGTGTGTGCGAGTGAGTGAGAGAGGGCAATAAGAGAGGGATAAGACGAGGTCCGTTTATTACTTTCTTCCTGTGAGTGTGTATCCGGTTAAGCGCATGGTAAGATAAGATAAAGCATATGTAAATGGTGTGAAGATACAACCGTGAGTGAGCGACTGAAGATTTGATAAACATATTGTCCCGTAAAATGAGCTCATAAAGTGAGCTAGTTTGCAGGGAAGTTAAAAATACGAGGTGGATATGCAATGCCTCGGCTACAGGAAGGAGAATTACTGGAGTCCGCCTTATTATTCTATTACACTCCCGTGCTCTCCACGACAAGTGATTTCTTGGCACTTCTATTGATATCAAGTAGGAGAAGGTTGGTTATTAGCTCAAAGAATGCTCATTCTTTCTGTTGGAAAGCCTAATTGAGTATTCTTGTCGAAATGGAAAGATACTCACAAGCCTCACCTCTCATGCACTTTCGAATTTCTCCGCTTCCGATTGGATATATTTATTTATTTATACCAAATGGCAGGCGTTTTGATAGTTATCATTAGCCCTTTAGTTGACTCCAGGCTTCACAGAGAGGAAGGAACATCGAAGGGAAAAAAGTTGAGAGGCGGGAGAAGGGAAGAGAAGAGTGTTTCAAAGAAGTAAAAGAGACAGACACAAAGACAGACAAAAGGTAAGGTGAGTACTGTGAAATTAGTCAAATATGACATATAATGGGTGATGGTAATTTGAAGTGAGAAGTCAACTGCCGTTTAATAGACTTTTTTGTCGTATGAGAATACGTTGCCCAGGGTGTACCACATGGAGGTAAGTCTATCCCCCACCCCCGGGGATTGGATATATAGGATCACACGAGGAGAAGCCGTCGGAGCAATTATTGACCAACCAGGCTGCCAATAATTGATCACATATCTAGTCTAGTATAATCGCATTTATCTTCATAATGAACTAGTCGTTCGAATATAATTCTATCTCTTCCAGCGTTATACAAAGCCATAACTTTAGAAAGGGAAGACTGAGTTGTGTAAAAGACTGAACATCTCTGGGGGAATACCAAGGAGGTAACTTCATTTAACATTTGAAGTAGAATAATAAGATTACTGGAAAAATAGATTACCAAAATCAGTCAAAATTAGTCAAGAAGGTGTACTTTCGTGTACTAATCAATGGATTCAAGCCGCTACATTCCTCCTTTTATGTATGAACTTTTTTGAACATTTTCGTTATTCCAAGTTCTCCTGAGTTTGACAATAATAAGAATTTCCATTGGGAATCGTCAAGATGGGTGTGACTAGAGCGTCCCGTTTGTGCAACTAAAAGATGTCTCTCGACACGGTATCTCATTATCCTGTCGTACTTTCAAAAAGGCTAGGTTGAAGCTGAGAGTAATATACTTTCCAATAATTTGTATTTGGAATGAAGTACCACTAATTCCAAGCAAGGATTCTTTAAAAGCTCCTCCAAATTAAGCCTAAATATTTCCTCGTATACCCAATGATCCCTCTTAATTTAGAAGAATAAAATAGCCATTTCCTATGAAGAGTTAAACTGGATTAGGGAAATGTTGAACAAACGAGAATGAATGAGAGATGAAAAGAAGGATTAGGAAGAGGAATCGGCAGAAGACTTTGAAGACGCCCGTACTAGACAAGAGCACAGAAGGGGTATGAGAAGGCATAGCCTTTTGTGCTCATTGCTTGTTGATGGGTAACGCTTAAATCGAACAAATATATGAGTCAGAGTACAAATAGCTTTCATGGATCTCAATAGGCAAATAAAGATAATCTGAGTTTTGGGGACATATCACGTTAAAAAGAATAATATATCTCAAGGCTAGTATTAAAGTTTCCCTCATTAAAATATGAATACACATACAACTGAGAAGTAATATTAACTGGTAACAGGGCCATTTAATTACTTGAGAATTTCAAGTAGTACGTAGTGATTGACTCAACAGACAAGAGCATAATATATATCGCGGCATCACTATTTTAAATCTAAAAAAATCCACCAAACCAGTCCTTCGCATCAGAGTTATGAATCAGTGAAAAACACCTCGAAAGAACTCCAATTCTTAAATTAAAACCAACGAAAATGCAAGATTCATAGCAATGAGGTGCATTTTCTTACGAGTCAGAGATGAAAAAGTTAATTGGTGGACTTCTGTGAAATGAAAATTGTACCTACCACTTGCATACTACGCTAAGACTCCGATCGCTAACACCATGTAAGGTTAATTTGTCTTCTCAGGGGGGGGGGGTGCGATAGACTTACCTCCACGTAGTGCACCCT